CTGATCCCCGGAAGCGGGGTCGACGATCGCCAGCCTCTCATGAGCAAGATAGAAATTCTGGTGATGATACAGGCCGCTCCAATCGGGGCCCCGGTGCCTCAACCTAGCAAAAACACCCTTCAATTCAGCACCTTAAACCCTGGATCGCTGCCGCGTGATACCTGCGAGAGAGATCCAGCACCTTGCTGCGCTGGAGATGCGCCTCATGGTAGCCGAGAATCGCGAGAATCCCACACATTCCTGCCGCTCCCCCTGACTAGGGTAAAAGAGCACATTAAATATTAGGGCTTGCTGTGTTTGAAAAAAAGTTTGGCACCCTCAAAACGGACCATTCTCAGTTTTCCACAAATGATCAAACTTTGTCACCAAGTTGGTTTTCAGTGATGCACAAATCTTGAGAGTATGATCAAACTCTTATATTATTAAGGCTTTTGCTATCATCAAACCTTTGTTTCTCTCTAGGTCTTGCAAGCTTTGGTGACTGCCTCATCTTCCCAGCTTTCCTCAGCCTCTTCTCTTCCTTCTTCTTCTCCACCTGACTGCTAGCTTTCGGGAGCTTCACCCTGAGCTGCTTGGCCAGCTTCTCAGCTCTCCCCCTCAAGTCGGCTTCCATGGCCGCTGTTCGTCCTTCCGGGGTGAGATGGACGAGCCTGGCGAACTTCTTGGGGAGTATGTCCCCCATTGTCTCGTCGATCTCTTGGATGGCCGGTGCCAGCCCGGCCCACACGAAAGCACCGTTGTAAACCTGGATGGCGTTTGTGTCGGGCAGAGTCTTCGTGTTCTTGAGCTCCAGGTCGAGGCAGTAAGGCGATTCCTTGAGCCACATGCACAGAGCGTGGCTCTTTGCGACCAGGACTCCGGCCCTCGTTTTCGATGGAAGAAACGGTGATCCCATCTGCCAAAGGTGAGTTTTGATTGTGTTGCTCACCGAGGCCTGGTTGTTGAGCTTGCTGCTTCCTATGTCTATCTGGATGGACTTTGGTGGAACTGGCGATCCTTGCAGTGAAGCGTCCTGAGAGCTAGTTCGTAAGTATGATATTGAGCGTAAACGAATGTACGTTGTACCTGCATTTGATCCAGCCAGAGTATCAAAGCGACCAGTGCGGCCCCTGGCGACAGTCTACGAAAGTCCGCTCCCCAGTTCCTGTCTTTCACCCTGGGAGTCAAAAACACGAGCAAACGTGTCAGCTATTTGCTCCAAAGGTTGTCAGGTACCTGGCTAAAACTTGGGTGTAAATGTTGCTTTCAATCGCCACTGCAAACACCAAAGCTGCTGTTGCGCACTGCCGGAATGCCCAGAGCAAGTCCATAAGCACGTTTACAACCCCTTGGCATGCTTCGGGGCCAGACTCTTGCAACTGATCGAATATGTCTTGCATGTCCTGCACCACTTTGGGAGTGCATTCGGTCATAAGCCTGAAAACGAAAAGAAAACAACGAACACTTAGTAAGAATCGCATCGCCAAGGAAAAAAACTTACCTCAAAGGGAGCGAGAAACCAGCTTCGGACAAAGCTTTCAGAAGCATCAACGCATGACTTGACCTTTCGCAGACCGACGCAGCCCCGACGAAGCAAGTTATTGTAACATGAGTGGGCCGAACACAAGCGTCGGTCATCTTTCTCAGCCATATCACCGCAGACAAATAATCCTTGTTGTTCAAGTGGGAGTTGATGATGCTCGTATAGTGGATGGCGTCCGGGCTCATTCCAATCTCTGGTAGCGTTTCGAGAACCTCTTCAGCCTTTCCAGTAGCACCACCTTTCCCGTAAGAATCCATGAGCATGTGAATCGTCGTCAGGCTCGGTTCAAAGCCATCGGCTTTCATCTGCTCTATGACCTCCTCTATCTTCCTGTGCTCCCCAGCTTTCCGGTACACGTTGATCATCACATTGTATGCTGTAGCATCAGGCTTGCACCCGGTTTCCGCAATGCTCTTGAAAACAAGCTCAGCATCCTCATATGCCTGGAGACGTCCGTAAGCCGAGATGAGTGTCGTGTACGTCGAGATGTTTGGAGCATTGCCTGTCTTGATCATTTCCCTGAGAAGAGCTTGAGCCTCTTGCACCATCTGGTTGCGGCTGTAGAGCATGATAAGCGTGTTAAAAGTGGTAGCATCCGGCGAGCAGCCTATTTCTTGCATCCCTTTGAAGACCAAGGCCGCTTTTCTGTAGCTTCCGAGCTTGCTGTATAAGCTGATCATATGGTTGTAGATATCCATGTCGAGCTCCAATCCTGCCTTCTTGATGTCCTTGACAAGCTCTTCAGCATCGATCTCAACCGTTTCTCTGGAGTATAAAGCAAGCAAGGCCTTGAACACCTGGATGCTGGGAGAAAATCCGGCCTCTCTCATCTGCCGGTACATGCTCCTAGCTTCTTCCAGATTTCCATTCCTGCTAAAAGCATGAAAAATCACCACAAACGTTCTTGAGTTAGGAGTTATCCCCATCTCAGGCAAGCGCTGATAGAACTCACTTAGCTCTTTCGCTTTCCCAGCTCTTCCAAAGGCTTCGAGCACGTAGTTTGCACAGGCAGCGTTGGGCTGTAGACCGGCGGCCACCATATTGTCCAGTGCTCTCGTAGCTCGCTCAAAGTTTCCGGTCTCGGCATAAGCTGAGAGCAACGCGCTGTAGGCGGATGTGTTTCCAGCAAAACCATGCCGCTGCAAATCTCTGAAAACGATCTCGGCATTCTGCCACAGCTTCAACTTTCCATAAGATGCGATAATCGCAACGTGCATGGCTGAGTCCTTAACTTCAAAGGCGTGGAGGCAATCGATCAGAAGCTCGTGCGCAACGAAAGCAAACCCCTTGCGACAGTAGCACATCACAGCAGTTTGAAGAACTTCAGCGTCCATTTCCAATCCCTCTGTTGTCATATCCAGAAACCGAGCAAGAGCTTCGTCTTGCATGCCAGCTCGATCATAGGAAGCGACCAACACCTTGAGAAAGTCGGAAACCTGTGCCTGGCCGTAAGTCTGAGAAGTTCTCATCTCTTCCTCCGCTTCACTGAACCTTCCCGCTTTTGCCAGCATCAGCGCCAGTCTCTTGTACAGGTGAGCAGCAACACTAGGCTCGATGCTCGACACCGCGTGAACCAAATCTCGCGCGTCACTGAGCTTCCCGGATGCCTCAAAGGCACCGAGAACGTCGTTGAGTGTTTCCACCTTCACTGCCACCCCTTGCGCAAAGGAGATCTTCAACACAACCGCGGCTTCCGCATAGAATCCACCTTTAGCAAGCGTGGAAGAAAGCGCGGCCAAGCTAGCACTGGACTGCACCATCTCCTTGCTAAGGTTCTCGATCTCCGCCAGAGAACTTTTCTGATAGAAGACCCGAACCATGATAGCGTAGACACTGAGCTCCGGCTTCAAGCCCGAGCCAACCATAGCCTTGTATAGAATTATGCACTTCTCTGGCATTTCAGCTTTGAAGAAGACGTCCAGCATCACCGAGTAAGCCAAGAGGTCGGGACGAACTCCAGCACGAAGCATGCAGCTGTAAGTGTGTTCCGCATCACTAAACATATCCGCCTTTGCATACGCACAAATCATGGCGCTGAAAGCTTGCAGAGTTGGCCTGACTTGCGACTTGAGCATGTCTTCGAACATAGCCGCTGCCTCGTTCACAAACCCAGCCTTGCCAAGCGTATCGATCAAAACCGTGAAAGTCACCGAATCCGGGCAGCGTCCTTCCTCCTTCATCTGGACGTAAAGCTCCTCGGCCTTCCTGTGCATCCCCGCCTTCCCATACATGTGTATCATCGTGTTGTACGTTATCTCGTCCGAGGAGCAGCGGGCGTCTCTCATCATCCCTCGGATCCTCTCCACCTCCTCAATCCTCCCGTCCCTGGCGAAAGCATGGAGCACCGAGTTGTAAGTCACGGCATCCGGAGTAAAGCCCTGCTCTTGCATGATCCTAAAGATGGAGCTCGCAGCCTCGACTCTCCCAGCTCGACCATAGACCGAGATCATCGCGTTGTACGTCCAAATATCCGGATCACACCCCTGCCGCTGCATCTCCTCGAAGATCAAAATGGCGTCGCTCAGCCTGTTGTTGAGGCTGCAAGCGCTGATCAAAGTGTTGTACGTGATGGTATCCGGCCTGAGACCAGCAGCGTAGACGTCCTGGAGGAGCGAGGAGGCCAGACCCTCTTGCATGCCACCCCGAGTTCTCGCCTTGATCACGATGTTAAAGGTGACGAGATCCGGCCGGCATCCTCTATCTTGCATCCGGCAGAGAAGCTGCTGGACGCTGTTCCAATCTCCATGCCTCGCGTAGACGCTCATGAGCGAGTTGTAAACTTGGACACAATTGCCAATGCTCGACTCCGCTCGGTCGAAGAGCTCTTGCGCTAGGCCGGGCTGATTCGCTCTCCCCAGCACCGATAGCATCACCGCCAGCATCCTTGGATTGGGAGCGTACCAGCGAGCAACGTTGAGGCACTCGTAGAGCTCCAGCGCGCGCTGCCAGCTCGTGTTTGCCACTCGCTTCACAACATAGCACAAATCCGTGGGGGCGAGCTGCTCCTTCCAGCCATCCACCGTCTCGCGCACGAATTCGTGCTCGTCCAGCCGGCAAATCGCGTCCGACAGCCGCTGGACGCGCTGCCGCCAGTCCTTGGCGCGCTTGAGCGCGAGCTTGGACATCTTGCGCGGCTTGACGGGCTCTAGCACAGCCATGAGCGGCGGCTGGAGGTACTCACCGCGGTACTGCCGCCACATCTTCTTCGGCTTCTGGGGATCCAGAACGACGTACATCGGCTCCCTCTCCCCGGCGGCATTCTCTTGCTGGGAATGCGAATGCGATGGCGATTCCTCGCTCTCCTCGGCGGTGCCTCTTCCCGTCCTTCTCGAGGTGTAATCGCTGTGCTGCGGCCATCGGATCGACGGCATTGCTCGCGGATACACGAATCGTGGAGTTGGAGCTGGAGAATCGATCGGGAAGGCCGGCGACGACGCGGAAATCTGGAGCGCCATCACCATGGCTTCCAAGAGCCCTAGAACAAAACCTCTTACATTGAAAATTCTGGGTTTAAGAAGCCCCACTCTCGTGGAGTTGTCTAGCGTCGGCCACGAGCCTCTTCAAGAGCTTGGTTTTGTTTCCATGGCTCCAATCGGGATTGTTCTGCCAAGAAAAATTTCGTGAGCGATCTATCCAAGTAGAGAAGAAGATCTAGCTTACTTGAAGAGTGACCATCGCTCTCTTGGCAAACGCCGCTAGCTCGGGACTGGCAAACGGTGGGAGCCCTTTCACGATCTTATGGAGCTCCTCGTTCTTCTTCTTCCCGGATTTCTGCTGAGGGCCCGTGTAAGTTTCGATCAGAGACTCGAGTTGCGGGGCACGCTCTTTCACGTCTTGCACGGCTTCCTGCAAAGTTTTTTTGGAGCTCATTAGAGCCAAAGAATCTGAGAGAAGAACGACGATTTTGCTCTTACCTCCCATGCTTTTTCGTCAATGCCATCCTGCGAAACGAGCTTTCGTTTGGCTCTGTCCAGTGATTCCTCCAACGTTGGCAAAGGTTTGTCATCAATATCTGGATTTGTTCCAAACTCCTCCATTGCAGCCTCCGGATCAACATCCAGCTGCAATTCGCGGGAACCAAAAACGTCAAGAACGGGGAAAGAACAGAAAAACACAATAGTAACGTACCATGAAATGCCTGTGCAAAGTTCCCTTGATCGCTTCCTCCACCTTCGTAAGAGCGTCCCCTTTCGCCATATACTCTTGCGGCGCTACGTACTCGATGGCTCCATCCAAATCTATCACACCTTGAGGCACCACTTGTTTGCCTCTACTACTTTTCTTGACTCCGCCACCCGGTCTTATTTCGGTTGTTCGTTTGCTGGTAACGTCCCCCAGTGAAAACTGATCGCTGAATCTCTTCTTCCTCCTCTCCAGATAAGCGGACATCTGAGACTTCCCCAAGCCACCTTCCAGAATAGCCATGGCTCTCGCCGCTGCTTCTTCCCTCTTAAGTTTCGATCGCTTCACTTCAGCAGCAACAGTAGTGGGATCGATGACTTTCCCCCTGCCTTTGCCTCGTCTCGATTCGAAAGGCAGAGCAGGCAAACTTTCATCCTGTTCACCTTGCTGACTCTCCAAAGCTTCTTCCTCCTGAAGTAGCTCATCTGTTGGCGTGTGTAGGCCAATAAGACTTGCAACTGGATCCATGAGTGGGACGCCTTTGCCTCGACCAGGAGAAATGAATTTCCGGATAGAAGGCAGTCGATCCACTTCGGTATCAGATGCCTCGCTCTCGGAAAGAGTCTCTGTCTCAGCAGCTTTAACGGTTTCTTTCACTGCCTTCGGTGAGCCCGGCTTCTTCAGATCAAGACGCAACGGAGGTGGCTTGGGAAGGTCCGAAGATTTTTCTTCCACTACTTTGCCTCTTCCAAGTCCATGCAATACAGTTGGAGGTTCGGGCGTCGGAGCTTCTGCAACTTTTTCTTTCTTCAATTTTACTTCCAGCTTCAACGGCGCAGCTTTTGAAACACCAGGTCTGCTTCCTTCCGTTTCTGCTGGTTCATCTTGTACTTTCACAGCTCCAGGTGTGGTTTCTTCCTTCATTCTTACGGGAACAACCGAAGGCTTTTTCAACTTAAGCTCCAGTTTAGCACGTCCAGGTTCGTCTTTGGTTTCAGGCGCAGCCTCGAGTTTTGCAGAAGCCGGCTCTTCCGTCACTGTTGGAGGTTTCCTCAGCTTCAGGTCTAACTTTGGAGGTTCTTCCTTCTTTTCTGCAGGTTTCTTCAGCTGAAGATCCAACTTTGGAGGAGGCTCCGTCACAGTTGAAGGTTTCTTTGGCGTGAGATTCAGCTTTGGAGTAGACTCTTCAGCCACCGCTGCAGGTGTCTTCGGCTTAACTTCAGTCTTCTCAGGCTTTGGCACTGACGCTGCCACATCTTTACTCTTAGCCGCCACTGCAACCTTCGCCTCAACTTGCGATTTGATATCGGTCTTTGCTCGTGCAGGTTTTGGAGACACCGTGTCCACAACCGCTGCTTTCTTCGTCTCTACAGGCTTTGGTGGTGGTGGCGGTGGTTTCAACGCCTCAATTTTCACGGCTGGAACTTCAGGTGGCAGTTTCTTGGCGGCCGATGGCGCTTCTGGAACATGCGTCGAAGGTGGTTGGCCAATTGGCCTTTGCACCACTCCTGGTCTCAAAGGGAGTCCTGAAGGATATATCGGAACTGGTTGCGGTGGCGCTTGGAACTGAGCGTGTCCAGCCGGTCTAACTTGAGGAACACCTGCTGTAAACTGCGCTGGACTGTGGACGCTCATTGGTACTTGTTGATACGGCACCTGCGAAAACTGCTGGGGAGGTTGCCCTTGAACCTGCGTTTGAGGCCGCACTGCACTCGCCGCAGCTTTACCTTCCATAAGAGTTGCTCTATCACCTGCAGCTTTGAGTAACTCTGGTGACTGCTGCAGAAACTCAAGCGCCTTTGGCTGAAGCTCGAGTTTTGGTCGGGGAGCTTGGCCGACAGTTTGTGGCGCAGCTTGTCCAGTTGATGTCGGAACTTGCGGCGCTGGAGTGGCAACTTGTGTAGCAGGATATTGCTGTGGTCTTGCAATAGCGACATTTTGTGGAGGTGGCGGCGGTGGGACTGCTGCTGGTGCATAAGGTGGAGGGGGATACTGATAGCCCGGAGGATAAGCCGGTTGATATCCAGGATAGCCCGGTGGATATCCTGGATACGTTTGGTATCCCGGATAAGCTTGCTGGTAGTATCCCGGATACCCCTGATATGCTTGTTGATATCCTGGATGATATACCGAAGGCTGACTTTGAGGATGATATCCGACTGGAGCCTGAGGAACCGGCTGCATATTGACATATGGATTCGGTGGATAGTAAGCCGACGTTTGAGGCCATTGCTGTGTTGGCGGTGCCGCAGGCTGCTGTGGATTTAATGTGGCTGGAGCTTGTTGAGGCTGCTGGTATTGAGGAGCCTGGCCAATCTGATGCTGCATCCCAGGTGTCTGAAGAGGTGTTCCGTGACCGACACCATGCGATGGTACTGCGGGTGGTCTTGTCACTGGCTGCGCCGGGACTGCTGAGACTGTTGTTGCTGGTTGCCGAGCAGCGATTGGTGTTTCTGTTGCTGCTGTCATCAGTGCTCGCATCTCACTGTAAACCATATCCATGGCTGAGTAGTTTCCCAGTTGATTGTAGGCGTCCATCACAACTCTACAAGCCTGCATGGACACCGGCAGATGGCCGGCTTTCATCCCTCTGTAAGCCATGCCCACCTCCTGGTAAAATCCCCGGTTGTACCACGAACTTATCAACGCTGCAAGAGTTTCTGAAGCCTGAGCTTTCTCCTGTACGCTCGGCTCTGGTTTCTGCTGCCCCCCCGTCCTGATCTCCCGCATCTCCGCGTAAATGTTATCCATCTTCTGGGAGTTTCCCAGCTGGATGTTGGCGTTCAGAAGCGTTTGGCACGTCTGCATGGTCGTAGGAATGTGAGCAACTTGCATTGCTGCATGCACGTAGTCGATCTCGTAGTAGAGTCCTCGGCTGACGCAGGATTGGATCAACGCACCAAAAGCTTCCGAAGCCTCAAGACGGCTTGTAGGTTTCTGCGCAAGAAAATTATCAACATCAAAATTCAGGCTCTTAGGTGAAAGCAATTACCTTGGACGGGGGATACGCGGGCGTCTCCTGCTGAAAAACAAGAAATGAGCCAAGTTTCTCGTGCAAACTAACGGGCATACCTCCGAAGAAGGATCCGCAGGTGCCTGCTCAAGAAAAAGAAGAGAAAAACGCACAGAAAAGAAGTTATAACGGTAGTTCTTACACTACAAATGGAATTCTTACCTGCGAAGGAGGTGGAGATTGGCCGCTCGTCACAACACCAATGATGCTGCTGACTGGTGCTGGAATCGCGGCCTTCGCGGCCTTCGCTGCCGTAGCTTTGGCCTGTGGAATTGCCGCAGCTGGACTGGATGTAGCCACATTTGCTTGTAGTGCTTGCCCTGTGGCATTTCTAGCAGCTGCGATCGGGGATTCACCCCTGCCTCGCCCGGAGCTCGACACAGGAGCTGTAGCTGGAGCTGCGATTCCACTGCCGTGACCTACACCGGGAGACGACGGCGCGGATTTTGGTGCCGGGGCTGCCGGTAGCGGCGATTGCTTGGACGGTGGAGCCGCGGCGGCTCTTCCTCTTCCTCGCCCGGGACTAGTGCAGTAGCAGCGTACCTTGAGAAGAACGCGCCGATCCAATGCGCCTCGCATTCTTCCTTCCTACATCGAGAGCTAAAACCCTAATAATTCTTGGGGGCATATTCCTTCTTCTAGTTCCCTGGTTCGATTCCAGTGAGCACCAGGCCACAAGAGCAGCCATTTGGCTGCTTTGGCGGTGCGTCATTTCCATTCAGCGAATGAGTGAGAGGGAGCCGCAAAGAAGGAGAAGAAATAGCTGGATCTTAGGGTAAGCAGGTAGCATTCTAGTCTCGAACCAATGGATCGGCCGATCGATCAACGCCAGCAGAAGCAGGGCAGTGAGGCCCTAATTCTCGTGGAGAAAAGAAGCGGGATCGCCACGATCACGCTCAATCGGCCCAAGGCGCTCAACGCCCTCACCAAGCCGATGCTGACGATCCTGGCCGGGATCTTCAGGCAGCTGGATAGCGATCCAGAGGTCAAAGTGATTATAATCACGGGGTCCGGGAGGGCATTCTGCTCTGGGGTGGTATGTTTCATTCATCGTTTGCTAGCTTGAGAGATTTTTCTTAGCTTAACTCTTGATAATTTCCTTAGAATTCTTGGTGTCTGAGATTTTCTATTCGAAAGGATCTCTTTGTTTCCTTTTCTTTTCTTTTTGTTTGCGTGTGGTTTCCTGAAAAAAACGCATTTGGTCTTTTGTGTTTTTTCTCTTGATGGACTGAAAGAAAGCATAGAAACGAATACCAAACGTCTTTTTTTCATTGTTTTTATATTTGGAGGGATGGCTTTAGAGATTTTGTAGTCCTTCTTTGCTCTTCTACACTTAGAGAGAATTCTAACGAAAGCTACTTGATACAGGATTTAACAGCTGCACAGGAAGTTTTTAAAGGTGATGTCAAAGACAAGTCAGCTGATCCCGTTGCACAGATGGAGCGATGCAAGAAACCGATAATTGGCGCCATCAATGGGCTGGCTATAACTGCAGGCTTTGAGCTATCACTTGCATGTGATATGCTCTTTGCGAGCAGCAATGCAAAATTTATCGACACACACAGCAAGTGAGTGTTAACTCAATTGCTTCTTCTTTTTTTTTTTTTTTTTTTTGATAATTCGTGTATTGATTTCAGGTTTGGAATCTTTCCGTCTTGGGGGCTCTCGCAAAAGCTGGCCCGTCTAATTGGTGTCAACCGAGCCCGTGAGGTGTCACTCACGGCTTTGCCATTGGAGGCCTCAACCGCCGAGCGTTGGGGGCTTGTCAACCGGGTGGTTTCTCCATCTGAGCTTATGGAGACGGCGCGAGCTGTGGCAGAAGCGATTGCCAGGAATGATGAGAAGATGGTGCTCCTTTACAAGGCGATGATAAATGACGGGGTCAACGTCGCTCTCGGCAATGCGCTTGAGCTTGAAAAGGTTCGCTCATCTTTTAAAGTTCGAAAGTTTTTGTCGAGCCAAATCCAATTGTTCTTAACTTTCAGGAGAGAGCTCATGACTACTACTCCAAAATGAAGCCAGATCACTTCCAGGCCATGCAGAAATACATCACAGGCCGATCATCGTCGAGGCAATCGAAGCTCTAGAAATCGAACGTACATTTGATCTTGCTGAGATCTTTTATAAGGGAAGGAAATGCAATGGAGTTATCACTCACAGTATGTCTCTTTGACACTGCTTGTGAGGACCATCCCACATGTGAGTGATAACCCAAAGCCTGCAGTTATAGCCAATCTGTTGATAGCACCAATTATCAGTTTCTCCATCTGTGCAACAGTTAGCTGGTTTGTCTTTTGACATCAGTTTCTTTATGTGAGTGCCTTTGAAAACTTCTTGCACAGCCTATATGGAATCATTCTATCTTTTGGCACAAAAGCTGGCCAGGAGGCCTAGACCATCGAGCACTCGGGCTCGTCAACTGGGTGATTTCTCCGTCTGAGCTTATGGAGCTGTGGTGGAAGTGATTGCCAAGAACGACAGTAGAATGGTGCTCCTCTACAAGGCGATGATCAACAACGGGATCAACCTCACTCGAGCTCGAGCTCGAAAAGGTTCGCGTGGCTTTTCTAGGTCCAAAATTTGAGGATTCTAAGCCATGCAGAAATACATCACGAATCGAAGCTCTAGAAATTGAAGGAATCATGCGTACATTTGATCTTCCATTAAGCCAAACCTCACTTGCCTGGCTGCTATGGCATTTCCATTCAGCGAATGACCGCAAAGAAGGAGCTTAGGGTAAGAAGGTAGCATTCTAAATGATCAACGCCAGTAGCAGCAGGGGAGTGACGCCTTAATTCACGATCGGCCAAAGGCGCTCAACGCCCTCACCAAGCCGAGCTGACGAGCTGGTTGGGATATCAACTGAAAGGGCATTTTGCTCTGGGGTGGTATGTTTCATTCATCGTTTGCTAGCTAACATCAAAAAACATGAAACCAAGACCAAAGTCTTCTCTCATGGTTTTGTGTTCCTCTCCTTGTGTTTTGCTTTTCGTATAGATTTCAGGTTTTTAATCTTTCCATCTTGCGGGCTCTCACAATAGCTGGCCAGTGGGTGTCAACAGAACTCGCGATCACTCACGGCCTTGCCACTGGAGGCCTCGACCACCGAGCGATGGGGGCTCGTCAACCGGGTGGTTTCTCCATAAGAACGACGACAGAATGGTACAAGGCGATGATCAACGACGGGGTTACAACCTCGCTCGAAAAGGTTCTCTTGGCTTCAGTTTTTTGTGAGCCATCATAACTTTTAGGAGAGAAACTCCAAAATGAACTTCCAGGCCATGCAGAAATACATCACGGGCCGATCATCGTCGAGGCAATCGAAGCTCTAGAAATCGATGCGTACATTTGATCTTCCAGGCGCGGGCTGAGATCTCTTAAAAGCGAATTCGTGTTTTCGCGGTTGGCCAAGAGAGTCGAGGTGAATGGCGCGCAAGCGAAAGGAAAAAAAGAAGAATAAATCGTCACTGAAAAAGAGGGAGATGTTTAAGGAAAGTTGTCTGCCAGTGACTCACGATGGAGGGTCTTATCCCCCGTCAAACTTCACTATTCACAGAAGAATCGAAATAGAAAATGCCACGTTGCGCTGCTGCATTTGTTGCACAGGTGTCCTCCACGTCACTCCATTGTTTTTATTGTTTTCTCTTTCGTCACCGCCCCTGCTTGTTTGGAATTTTAGGTCGCGAGGCGACCAAAGCGCGGCAAGCTATACTCGCGCTCACTGCCGATCCATCGCTCCCGATCGATCGCTTGCTTGCGATCGTTTCTCCGTTTTCCTCATCTTTGTTTCCAAGTTTTCTCGCGATCGCTCACCTTCCGCTTTCTCGCGTGTTTCCGGTAGAGATATTTGGGAGATAATATCGTGAGAAGGCGACTGGGAAAACGCTGTCAATGGAGAGCAGCAGCAACATCACTGCAGCGGCGGCGGGCGGCGGCGGAGGAGCCGGAAGAGATGGAGGAGCTGGAGCTGGAGGCGCAAAAGCTGGAGGAGCAGCCGCGGGAGGATCAGGATCGTCGGGCGGAGGAGCGACGGCGTGCGCGGCGTGCAAGTTCCAGCGCCGGCGCTGCTCCCCGGAGTGCGTACTGGCGCCATACTTCCCAGTTGAAAACACGGCGTGCTTCATGAGCTGCAAGCGGCTGTTTGGCGTGAGCAACATGGTGCGCATCCTCACGGAAGGAGTCCAGCCGGCGCAAAAGGACGACACTATCAAGTCGCTCATTTTGGAGGCCGACGCCCGCCAGCGCGACCCCGTCTACGGCTCCGCCGGCATCATCACCACCCTCCGCGAAGAGGTCGCAAAGCTCCAGGAGGAGCTAGTCGTCGCAAAGGAGCAACTTAGCTTCCTTGTATCTCAGCTCCACCAGCAACATCAGGAACATCAGCAGCAGCACCAGCAGCAGGAGCAACAGTTTTTTGTGTTTGATCCTCCGCAACAGCAGCACCCTCACGTAGTGCACCAGCCTCAAATGCAAGTTGTCCCTCACCACCCTCATTCGCAGCTGCTCGGCGACCACGCCCCCCCTCTAAACGTCATGGACTCGTCTTTGGCTCCTCCCGAACAGCCCCCACTGCTTCTTTTCCAGCCGGGGTTTCTGCCCATGGATTTTGTCCAGCACCAGGCTGAGGAGGCTCCGCAGGTGAAGCAGGAGCGGCTTGATCCGGAGGAACAGCAGCTCGAGCAGGAGTTCGGTGGCAACTTTTTTCAGCCGGCTAACGGCGAGCACAGGTACATTTGCTACGTGTGATGAGATATTTCGTCTTTGTACTAACCAGGTCCCTGAGAGTGAGAGAGAACATGTGACGCTAACTTCCCGCATTGTTCTCTGCATTTGTCCCATTTTGTCTCTCGTTTTTGTTGTCTATTGTTGTTGTATCATCGCTTTCTAATCCCTCTGATAAGTGCTTTATTCTCTCTGCGGATATGAGAACACATTTCATTAATCTCCAGTTCATTTTCTGAATCTCTTGTCTCTCGACTCACTCACGTCATGAACTTTGTTCTCGAGATCGGTCGCCGTTTGTCTCTATCCTGTTTCACGAGTTCATGCAAATCACCGTTCCATTGCATCTTGTCCTTGGAAGTTCTAAGCAGGAAAGATCAATGTTGCGAGTGATTAACTTAATGCTTTGTTGCTTTTGGCTAGACAGCAGCAGGAACAGCAGGAGCATCAGCAGCGCCACCAATGAGTGGTGTTTTTGGTTAAGGCGTCGTCGTTTGGTTCGGGGTTTGGTTATGGTTGATGAGATCGTGTTTTGCTTGTTTGCCAATGATCTCTATGGACGTGGTTTCGAATGAATGGGCTCGGAAGCAAGACACCGTCTCAACTGTGTCCAAAACCGCTTTCGTCTCTGCAGGCTTTGGTGGTGGTGGTTTGATTGCCTCAATATTCACGGCTGAAACTTCAGGTTCTTGCTTCTGAAACATGAGTCGGTTCACTCTGAAGTGCTTCATTCTCTCGGCGGAAGAGAAGCACATTCCCGGGAGAACATTATTCTCCCAGTTCTTTTCGTGACTTTGTCTCTCGACACTCACGCCATCAACTTTGTTCTCGAGATCGAAAGCAGGAACTCGTGATTAACTTAATCAATTGTTCATTTTGGAGACAGTAGCAAGGAACTATTCGTGCTCTGTTATGTCGTTTGGTTAAGCTTGATGAGATCATGTTTTTTGTTTGTTTGCATCTTGACCTCTATCGTGGTTTAGAATGAATGGAGTTCTGGCAAGTCAACAGTCTCTAGGATATTCCGTTACCGGATAGAACCATAATATTCATGAATATGCTGGATTTCAAATTGTTCCATTCTCCCTCTTTTTGTGCACGATCTAAGCCAGATTTTTTCCCCCACTGCCGCTACAGATGAGAGAAAACAATGCACAGCCGTGAGAGGGCACCAGCGCCGACAAACTCTCCACTTTATCTAGCTCGGTCCTGCTCCAAACTTCCTCCCCAGTGCATTGGGTGGTAGAGTCGTCCGCGTCCAGGCCTGGTTGGGTTTTTGGTGCCTCCGGACCTTGTGCTCCTCGAGCTTTCGTCGTTGCGAGCTTTAATCCGGGTTGACGTTGTTGGAGCCCCGCCAAGCTATAAGTCACAGTCGTGGAGTTTTGGCCGAGATTAAAAAATGCAACGTAGTACTGGCCTGAAGAGACGTCTCCACTAATTAACACCACCACGAGAAGTATTTAAGTACCTTTCAAACCGCGCGCGAGCCATATACGAATTGGTGCCACTTCCTTAACCTCCGCGCAAAACCCAGAGCTTGGGCTCAATAGTTTGCCATTTGGCAACAGTTGCCAAGCCTACAAGAGCTTGTGAATCTACGCTCACATGCAAGAGAGTAAAGCCTTGACTTACCTGACTATTCTCCATGGTGCAAAACGAGAAACGCTTGCTTGCAAACATTCCAATGCTAGATGGAAGGTTCGGCTGCGAGTCCATGCAAAGCTCACCAAAGTCGGAGGTCCACAGCCGAATAGCACCTTTGGATTCAGTGTCACTAAGAGCCAAAGTTAGAAGAAACCATTGCGTATTGATCCATGCTTACGAGAGTGATGAATCACTTAAGGAGGTCCAGTTGAAACACCCCGAGAGCACCGATGATCGAGATGATGTTGTTCTTGAAGCATTCCAGCAAATTCTTGCGTTTTGTTTCTTTTCCAACGTCCAGTGTGTGTTACTGCTCAATTCATCGCAGCTAACCAAAGTTAGCAGTGGGACATCCTCAGTGCCCGGTAGTGTTCCAGCGTAATACTATGGAAATCAATAATGCAGCGGTCAGTGGCACATATTTACAGAAGCTTACCTCTGTATTCTCAGTACTGTGGGTGTTTATTTCTAGAATAGTCGGGTTTGTGATCATGGCATAAGTAGCTTGGTCGATATTTCGCAGGTCACCACCATACATCAAGGGAGATTTTGCCATTGCCCAGAGCGTAAGCTGGCAGCAAGAAAAGGAGGAGTTTCATAAGTAACAAGGAACTCAATGTACGAGTTACTTGTGTTTTTTGCTCATCGAAAGATAGCCTACAAGAACGATATGGGCCATAAGGTGCACCTGAGAAAAAAAAAATTGAAGAACTTTGAAACTAACTATATGCTCAACTCTTTACCTCCATCAGTGAGCCAGCCTAACGGAAGCATGTCCAAGTCAGGCCAAGACTTCCCCCCTCCCAAGCCGGGTGCTCCAATCAAACCAGCAGCAGCAAAACTCCTAGAGCATTAACCACGACACGTTGTGAAATAACTAGAGAGAGCTTGGAAGTTTGTACTTTGCAACGTCAAAATGAGCAGCTACATCACCCCATCGGTCCCAGTCGTCGCCAGTGATCCGGTACATGTTAACGATACCGCTTACTGATGAAGCCAAGCTGGGAGTGGCTTGCACTCCAGGAGACAAAGAGTATACGATTGGTCGTCCAGTGTTTGTAATGGCCTATGAAAGATCCATAACCTTCCATCCGTGGATCCAACAAATGCAAGACACTTACCTCTGACACGGCTTGAATCTCCTCTAGATCGATGTTGTCAGCTCCGAAAACACAGTCATGTTTCACTGACAAGGCAAAGTGAATACACAAGCAAAGACTTCGGAAAAGCCATACCGAAATCGACTCCCCAGGAAGCATATTGATCATAAAGTGATTTTAGAAATGCTTTTCCACCAGCACTGGTCGTGTTGATGCTGACAAAGCACTCTTGCATCCACGGACATGGCTGGCTTGTGAGAGCAATATCTTTCGCTCTCCATCCCTGCATTAACCATGATCAAATACCCCCTTCAAAAAAAAGAACGATAGAAAAGATTACATACCTTGGCACCGAGAATCGGTGTGTTGTTAGCCACAGCAACCGTAGTAATCCCTCTCATAACGTGGATTCCAAACTTGAGTCCCATGGCGTGTACTTTGTCAGCAATTGGAGCGAAGCCTTTACCACCTGCCGTGGAAGGCCAGCGCTTGGGATCTGGAACTGGTCGTCCCCACTCATCGATGAGATCATGGCCAGAAGATTGGACTGAGGCTCCCTTCTCCTGTTTACGATACCAGAGAAAATCGATGACGACGTACTGCGAAACACACAAACTTCTCCTGTTTAGTTCCGAAGAAAAACACGGCATGGAAGTAAAAGAGTACTTCATAGCCGAAAGGAGCGAGAGTATTCGCGAGGATCTTCGCATTCTGCAAGAACTCCTCCTCCGAGACAATCCAGGAGAAGGAATCGTAAGAATTCCATCCCCGAGGAGGCGTGAGCGCTAGACCAGCTGTAGAAGCTGGTAGCAGCCTGTAAATGATCGATAGTAACCCAACCCAGCGATGGGTGCAAGCAGAGATTACCTCGTAGCGATGGCGAGGGAGAAGATCGCTAGGAGCCACGCCATACGAGAATGCGAGGAGAACTAGATCCCTAGGGTTCCTTACCGTGCAGGGGAGCCTACATTTGACGTCTCCGGGACTCCAGAGTAGTCGTGATGATGATCCAAGAGAGCAAAACCTAGACAGGACGATCTCTGATCGACGGACTAGAGGGCAACACATGGCTGCTCACTATTGATCTGGATTGGCGCCAAAAATCCAAACAAAATTGGGTTTTTTTTTTTAGGGTTCTTGAAGTGGGTTTTGTGAATTTCTTTCTCGCAAAAGCCCTACATTCAGCAATCTGTTGATGTCTACCTCAGGAATTGGGGAATTTCCTTCTCTGGCGGCTGTAATCCAGGTTTTTGTTTTTTAGGGATGGAAGTTCACGTGAGATAGACAATTCTGCTGACATTTTCTGAGACAATTTTGCTGACAGTTTCTGGAAATTTTATGCTTCAAAGAAAGGTCCCCCAGAAAAAACTCTCTTACCACAATTTACTTTCGGCAGTGTCCAACCGGGTAATTCTCTTCTCTAGAAAGAAAAAGAAAGAAAAAAAAAAAACCAAGTGTTTTTTTCTATGGGGAATCGTTTTAGTTGCACAGGATCTCTCAAACACGTCGCAAGCAAGAAGTGCCAGAAGAAGTATATATCCAAGTTAAAGCTGCTTAAATCCTCACTTGACATCACAAATCCTCCACAGGTGCTCTGACACTGGCGCATCTTTGAGCACCAACAAACAGTATGCTTTTAATTCCCCGATTTGCTGGGGGAGATCGCTGCGACAGAGGCGTCTCTTCCATCTCACATTTCTCCAATTCAAGCAAGCATCGATGCAGGGCCTTCCAACGTCACGTTTCCTTCAACCACGACTCACGAACCAAAACGATGACAGAGTTCTTCCAAGGTTTGACTTTTTTTCTCGTTTTTGTTCCCAACTGCGATTTGGCTGGAGCTAATCCTGCCAGTTGCAGAGATTGAGCAAGTCCTCACGGCGTTTCCGTACGCGTACTTTGGTTGTACGGGGGGAGGACTTATCGCCGCTTCATTTGAAGGTCCGTTTTCCGGTCGGACGAGCATCTTAGGGCGGCTGGAAGGAATGTGATCTGGTAGCATTCCTTGATGTGGGTCTTCAGGCTGGGACTAATCTGGCCAGCTGCGGGCCGCTAGCAGGGAAATCTCCTCAAGGCCATGGCTGTTAATGGCGTGAGCCAGAGGGATATCCTCGCAGCACAGGATGAGGTGGACAGGCTCAGGAGCGCTCTGCAAGCAACTCGGCGGAGGCTGCAGGATACTACCCGTAAGTCTGTGATAATTGCTTGCCTCCTCTCTCAAAGTTCTGTTTTTTTTCTTCTTCTCGGTTTTGTTTTGTGAAGTTGCTGAGTATGCGAGGGCTCATGGCCGCGGAGACATTGGATTCGCAGCTGACAGGTTCAAATCGCGGAGGATGCTCTCGGGGCACACCGGCAAGGTTAGTGGCTCTTGCAAAGTTGCGATTTTTTTTTATGCTCTAGAGCTTTGGCTTCTTCAGGTGTATGCTCTGGACTGGTCGGAGAGGGACACTATCGTAAGTGCGTCGCAGGACGGGCGCTTGATAGTCTGGAACGCGATGACAAGCCAGAAGACGCACGCGATCAAGCTCCTGTGCCCTTGGGTGATGGCCTGCGCGTTCTCGCCGGATGGCGAGACCGTCGCGTGTGGAGGTCTGGACAACTTGGTTTCCATCTTTCGGTTGCGCTCCTTTGACAGCACTGGGAACCATGCCCCGTCGGCGGTGCTCACCGGTCACAAAGGCTACATCTCCTGCTGCCGCTACGTGCCGCGGAAAGCTCAAATCCTCACGAGCTCCGGTGATCACACTTGCATCTTGTGGGACGTGGAGGCACAGAGGCACATATCGCAGTTTGGTTCCGAGTCGTCCTCGGGTCACACGTCTGATGTCATGAGGTGAGCACTGCGTTCGACCCGCTTGCGAGTTCCGTAAGTTTGTTCTCCTTTTGCAGCTTGTCAATAAACAGCCAGGATCCTAACCAGTTTGTCACGGGCTCGTGTGACACAACCGCAAAGCTTTGGGACTCGCGAGCTCCAAGCCGGGCGGCGCAGTGCACTTTCTTCAGCCACGCAGGAGATATCAACGCGGTGCAGTTCTTGCCGGACGGATGCCGCTTTGGGACGGGCTCCGAGGACGGGAAATGCAAGCTCTTCGACACGCGGTATGGCTATCAGCTCCAAGAGTACGTTACCTCCGGCACTCAAATCGTCACCTCCATAGCCTTCTCGCACTCCGGCCGCATACTCTTCGCTGGCTATGGCAATCCAACCGGAGTCCAAAACGTTGCTCCAACGAGATGCTTGCTCTGGGACGTTCTTACAGCAACAGTAAGCTCGCTTGCTCCTTTCCTTTCTCGAGTGTTGCTTGACTGTTGTTTTTTTTGTTTGGTTTCTCTTTCAGGAGCTCCACGACATCGGAGAATCTCACTCTAGACAAGTGAGCTGCCTCGGTGTTGCTGCTGATGGAACCGCGCTGTGCACAGGGAGCTGGGACCATACTTTAAAGGTGGAATTTAAAGCTCTTTTTTTTTTCCATCGAAACTAGCTTACTCGATTTTGTTTCTCTCGCAGGTTTGGGCCTACTCAAGAACAGATTGACAAAAAAATAGCATAGCCGCAAAAAAATTAAACAACGGAAAGAATGAAAACACAGAATTTTAAGGTGTGTGTACATACCAGGAGAGGAAACTTATCTTTTTCTCTTGTGCTCGAGTTTTGTTGCTTTTCGCGGTATCACGAAATAAGATGGTAAGGTAGTATATTCTGGCAGACAAATAAGATATTCTGCCGAATTTTTGTTAGGGATATTCTGGTTGCTTTAGATGACAGTTGCAATTTTTGCTTCGTTCTGCCCTAACTTCTAAGCTCGCAGCTATGGAGGGCTTCATCGAGTACATGGATGAGGACGACACGCCCAGCAGGGGCATACTCCACTACAGGCCGATCGTGTCCTATGATCCGTCGCAGCGATCCAAGATACGTGGGATTCGCAACAAGCAAATCCAAGACCAGGTATGCTCCCCGGAGGCAAAATCGCCAGAGTCCCCGCCATCGCCGGCCTACGAGACAGCCAGCGACACCGATCGGATCGATTCTCCCCCTCCCCCGCTCGCGATCGAGGATCGGCCGGCGACCGGGTCCTCGATCCGGAGCAAAAGTCCATCGTCGGGCAAGGATCCGTCCGAGTCGGGCGAGGAATCGTCCGAATCGCGCAGCAGGCTGAGAGCTCTCCTCTCGGCCAGGCAAAAGGCGGCTTTCAAGAAGCACATAGAGAGGTGTGGATCACCGCCGGGAAGGAAAGGAGCTGGGAGGCAATGCTGCAGGATCGTGAGGGACGACGCAGGGACGTACCTCTCGGGCAGGGTGGTCGAGGAGAGTGGCGACGCCGAGAGGATCATCTCGGACTCCGAGCACGCTCATCGATCGGACAGGTCCGCGAGGATGAGAGTGGATCTCTACCGAGGGGACTCGCCGGTGTTTGATTACGAAGGTGGTGGAGGGGGAAGCCACGAGTTTGCCGAGGAGCCGAGGTCAGTGTCCTCGAGGATGGAAACCTTTCCGACGAGGAGGTCGCGAGGGAGATCCCATCCATCCTCCGAGAGGACGAGACCCGGCCATGCTGAGCTCGAGACGAGTCGCCCGTCTTACTCGAGGGTGGTGTTTCCACTCTCCGCCAAGAGCGTTGCGGAGCTCTTCCCGTCTGGAAGCCATCCTCCGGAGCCGGGCCCAAGCGATCCAGTCCGGTGTCCCCCGACCGCCAGTCGAGCTACGATCGGGAAGAAGAGCGGCTCGCGGAGGAAATCGTCCGTGAGCATTCCGGGCTTCGTTCCAAAGTCCGGTGCTCCCGAGAACGCTTGGAAGTCGGGGATTTGCGGCTGCTGGCGCGATCCGGAAAGCTGTAAGTCAGTTCTTTCTCCTTTTTGCAGAGAAGCTTGAGAGTGCTTTAGCCGTAGCGTGTAGCTCTTTAGAGACTGGTAGTCTAAGTGTTTGTTTTCTATTGACGCGTATGCGTTTTCCTTGGCCTTACAGATTGGAGTGGGGTCATGGAGCAGGTTGTGTAACTGGAATCGCTCCTTGCATAACCTTTGGACGCTTGGCCGAGACCGTGGACAACGATCTAAGATGTAAGCTCTTGAGTGTTTTTCCTTGCTTCTCGCTTTCTTACGCGAGTTTCGTTTTTTCAGCGTGCCTGTTTAACGGGCTCTTGTATTGCTTGCTCTGCGCTGCCGGGCTGTGTTGCTGCCTCTCGGCGCACTACAGAACCAAGCTCCGGGAGAAGTACAAGCTGCCTGGATCGCGGAGCCAGGATTTTATCTCCCACTGCTTCTGCGAGTGCTGCTCGCTCGCGCAAGAGTTCCAGCAGCAGAAGGCCGAGAGCGTCAAGTCCACCGAGGTGGATCAAAGTCGGAGTAAGCAAAAACTCTTTTGCTGTTCCAATGGATGATTGTTTTGGTGGTTTTTTTCGCCAGGAACTCCAGAGCTCTTGACAATCGGAGGAAGTCCAGAGCTGTTGTTAACAGCAGGAAGTCCGACGGTAGTAACGAACACTGTGATACTACAATCTCCACCATTTGTGAAGAAGAAGGGCGACATAGCCGAGAGCTCAGCGGCAGCGGCGGCGTCGAATCCTCCCTTAAAGCTGAGAAATGCTACTCCAGGTCCGGTGATCATGGAGAGACCACCATGGAGAAAATAATGTTTGGGCCATGAACCATGAGTACGAATATGCCATGGTCCAGTTTTTGGTACGGTAATAACGAAGGTTCTCGATGTTAATCTCTCTGGTGTGTTGTCGAAACCTAGTTCTTCGATCAGTGCGCTTGGCGATCTAGGCGAAAAAGGTACGTCTAGCTAGGCCTCTCAGCGATGGGGCAAAAATCCCTCTCTCTTGTCCCAGGTTTTGCAAGAGAATGATGGCGGCAGCAGCAGCTGCTACTGTTGTAGCGCCCCCAAATGTGGTGCTGCGATCGTGTTCCTTGAGCTCGCGGGGAGCTGGCACCGCGGCGGCGTCTTACCCTCGCCTTCGTTTCAATCCTCTGGCTGTGACGCCGTCGCCGCAATTTCTCTCCAGGAGAAATATCATCGCCCGGCAGCAGCAATTCATATTTTCTTCTTCTTCCGTGGAGGATGCGGTGAGTGTTCTTTGAGAACAATTGTTACCATCTTCCAAGATTTTTCTTCTCCTTCTTCCCAGGCATCAGTGAACACTAAAGTCGACGATTCGTCCCAAGAGAAAATTTCCAGCGACGATCTCGATACATCGGTCAAGAACGTAGAAGTTGCAGCTAGAGACCTGGACGAGCAAGCCGAGAAGTCCAAGGCTGTGCTGGAGGAAGTGGTACAGAACCTCAAAGATGTTGGCAAGCTCCAGGACACTTCTAAGCAGGTGTATGCAGAGTCGGCAGAGAAAGCCATGGGTGTGCTCCGGGACACGACCGAGCAGCTCAGGGAGCAAGCCGAGAAGGCCAGGGCCGTGCTCCTAGCCACCGCCCAAGAGACCGCCGGCAAAGGCAAGGAAAATCTCACCATGCTCGCCGAGAGCTCTTCCGACCCGGTGCTCAAGGACATTGCCGAGACGGCTCTGAACGCTCATTTCGTAGAGACGAGCAAGAAGGCTGCCAAGATCCACGACTTTTGCCTGGGAATTCCTTACGGTACGCTTGCATTGTATTCGGACAAATCTTTTTTGTTTCTAATTCTTTGGTTTTCTTTGGGTTTTCAGGGAGCATTCTCCTGGGAGGAGGCATTCTATGGTTTTTGTTGACTGGAAGTACTGCAGCGCTGCGTTTTGGAGTGTTTCTGGGAGCTGTAGTTTTGGCTCTGAGCATTACGAGCCTTAAAGTCTGGAAGCGCGGAGGATCGTCGGCATCATACATTTTCGGACAGGGAGGTATGCTTACTCTTTTGCAAACTCAAAGCTTCATCTCCATGTGTTGGTCGCTTTTGTTGCAGCTATCGCGTCGCTTTTAGTGATTAGAGAGTTGAGGAGATTCTCGGAGGTCCGGTTGTTCTTCCCCCACGCGGTCATGGCGTTGCTCAGGTAGAGTTATTCATTTATTACTTTTAGTGGGCCTCCCATATGATTTTGTTTTGTTGGATCCTTGCAGTGCTGCAATGTTGGCATTTTACACTTACGTCTACGTCTCCGGAGGCAATCCTCCTCCAAAGAAGCTCAAACTGGAGCCATCCGGTAAGGCCGCATGAGCTCAAAAACTCAAGAGGCCAGTTTTGTAGAGTGCAGCGCAGTTTTAGAAGATATAGCGATGGTAGATCTAGAGAAGAAAAATAAAATGGTTTGTTTAAAGATGTCTAAGTATGGTTTAAAATTTACAGATCTATTAAAGTTTTTTATAATTCTTTTTCTGGAGTATTGTTTATCTATTAATTTATTTTCTTAACTAAAACACTTGTTTAAACTGCGAAAGCTTAAAATCGTCAGTAGTAAAAAAATTGAACACCCTAAACCATCCAGGGGTATGCAATTTGAACTTAGACTTTGGACTTTGTCAACTTCCCGTTTTATTCATTGCTAGCATCTTATACCAGTCCAGCTCGTCTTTTTAGCTAACCTGAATCTGCCTCAACGGTCCTCCATGTAGCCATGCCTCGACACACTGACAACGTTGATGAGACGATTTAGGAAGAACTGGGGCTCTGTGAAGATTTCGAACACTTCCATATGATGGACAGTGCTTGGACACTTACTTGTGATTTAGAAGAATTCGTTCCTTGCACCTTTTCTAAAAAGAATAAGCACTCCTTTGCCGCTTTGCTAAGTTCCTGATCTCTACTGTGCCTTATATGAAACACGGGCATCGAATCGGTCTAGCTACCCGCCAATTGGCGCGGATGAGCGAGGTGCAAGCAGTTCCAAGACCTTAAAGCCAACATTACTATTTATTCTTGGAAAATAAAAATTAACATTATTAATATTATTACTAGTGTTAACGATAATATTCCCTCAAATAAGTAGCTTCGATAATCATACCATGTTTATGGAGTTTTTTAGCCAATTCGCAACATGTATCTGTATCAGGAACCATCAAGTTGCAAAATGCCACATAACAAAACCACCTCCGAATTTGACAACATGTATGTTTTTAGCATCTCCTTTAGGACTATGCCTAGCAACTGTTTGTGGTTGTCAACTTAAGAAGTTCTTTAGCATTCTCCCGCTTACCCCCAGACACCATCATAAAGACATTGTGCTAGTTGTTTATCATCCAGTTTGAGTAGGCCTCTCTTTATTACATCTGCGTAGGTAGACAGGTGGTTCTGCAGCCACGTCTGGATGTTCCTTAACCATTTCATGAAAGAGCCTCTCATTGGGTGACAGACGAAGAACATTCTCAAACACACAAATCTCGCATTTGTAGCCCAAACCCTTCATCATGTCCACGGCTTCCCAAAGCTTGCCCTCAAGAGGAGGAGCCCTTTCAAAAGGATACGAAAGTACTCTGGTGAAAGCCTCTTGATCACACGCCTGGTCAAGCGAGTCCAGAGCAAACCCAGCCTTCGGATCAAAAACCCTTCGTATCACGGTGTTTCTGCGCTTTTTTCCAATTAGCTTGTGGAAAACTGATACCTCTAAGTTTAAAATGATAAATTATAAATATGTTTATAATTATTGAGAAATTGGATGAATAGATAATATTAAACTAAAAACAGCATTAAGCAAACCACGTCCAAACCGAGTGCAAGGTCATATC